GTAGCTCATCCAGATCGCGACACGTGTCTTGGTTTGCTAAACACCATTAGATGGTTGATTTCTGAATCTCCTTACATTTAATGCGTATGGTACGAATAATCATGGGTAATGATGGTTGTCACTCGAACTCTCAACCCCTTGATGTGTTCGTTTCGTTCACTCTCCGATACAAATGGAATTCAGTCGTTCCATCCATCCCTGATGATATCCACACGAGGCCGTGTGGGAGATATATTTTATTATAATCTTGTCCGTCTGGTCCATACCCCGTACACTAAGTACTTAGAATATATTTTGTAGCTTGTTAGGAGTCTACCCTCTGACAGTTGCAATCCGTTCAGCACTTGCGCTTCAGCATATCAGGTGGAGACCTTGTATTGGGTACTACATTTTCTATAATCACAATATCCTGGCTAGGTATGTATGCAAGAGTTAGTGTTCCCGAATAGGGGCAATCACTTAGCGAGTAGGTCCTTTCTAGCTAAGTGAACCAAATTTTAATTAAGATGAGATAAGAACTCTAGTGCAACTTTGAGTTAAGTTGATATTTCAGATGAGGATATAATAATTCTTCCGTAAGGGGTAACGACCTAGGGATAGGTTTCATTATAACCAAGTGTTTCGAACTCCAGTTTGTATCAAGGACTCTAGTGCAGTTCTGAGTTAATCTCCAACTTTAGAAGTGCATAAGAGTTAGTTTGCCCTAGCATAAGCAACAACCTACAGATTAGGTCCTACAGTTGCTTATCACAAGGGGGAAGGCCAAATGTCCTTCTCGTCGGTTAAGCAGCATTTATAGACAATTTACTTATTTATACGCATTTGTGATGTGTTTTATCATATTAGATATATGCTTAGGTTGTGATGTTTTTATCATATTAGATGTATGTTTAGGTTGTGATGTGCTTATCATATTAGGGTATGTTTAGTTCGCAATGCTGCAGTATAATCAGTCAGCCGAGCAACAGTTATAGTCAGTCAGTCGAGTAGCATGTATAGTCAGTCAGTAGCAACAGTTATAATCAGTCAAGTGAGCAACAATTATAGTCTGTTAGCCGAGAAGCAAATTATAGTCAGTCAGTCGAGTAGCAGTTATAGTCAGTCAGTTAAGCAACAATTATAGACGGTCAGTTAAGTAGCAGCTATAAATAGTTTACTTATTTATGTATTTATTGGATGAATGTTTAATTCGCAATCCGTTAGTAAAATGTTTATCATCGTATCGTTTCTGTCGATCTAGTAAGTACTTTCATATATGCCGATGTCATGATATGTTATTATATTAGCTGTATATTAAATGTCGATTCTGGTGGAGCATGGTTGATTCATTTATGCCCACGCCCCCCACTAACCATTTTTCAGGTGACGGTGTCGAGCGTGGTGCGTGAGCTGATGATGTGGTGGTGGTCACAGCGAGGATATTTTGAGGAAACATTTCATGTATATTTGAACATGTTTGAGTTATTATGTTTTGTTGATGCATGCTTGCATTTGCTTCCACACTCAGTATTCAGTACTTCGTACAATAATCAGTATGCAGATTTCAGTTTATGTATACCTAAAATCCTGAGATTTTCATAACGCCTTATTTGAGTAATGAATTATATCTCGGTTGCATGCGTAATAGTAAATGAGCACGTAGATGAGAATTTAGTTCAGTTTAGTAGCATCCCGCAGATTAAAGTTAAAGTATTTTTAAAAAATCAACAAGAGTTTTCTAAAACTAAATCAGTGCTTTCCATTTATAGCGCGAAAAATTTACTCTGATTTTAGTAAGCTTGGGCGGGGTGTTACAAAATCCAAAAGGATATTAACAACAACAACAACAACAACAACAAAGCCTTTTAGTCCCAAACAAGTTGGGGTAGGCTAGAGATGAAACCCAAGAGAAACAGTGGTAAGAGAAACACAAAAAAAAGGGCTCAAAACAAAACAAATTAAACAAAACAAAACTCAAAACAAAAACAAAACAAAAGAAAGAGATTGGAACAAAAGAGAAAGGAGCAAAAGTCACGGTTACGGCACGTTGATCGCTAGCCTCCAAGCGCTCCTATCCACCGCTAAATCCTTGGAGATATTCCAATTTTTAAGGTCTCTCTGAACCAACTCTTCCCAAGTGAGTTTAGGTCGACCTCTACCTCTATTAACATCATCGGCCCGCTGTAGAACTCCCCTACGCACCAGTGCATCAGGAGGCCTTTGTTGGACATGTCTGAACCACCTCAGCCGATGTTGAACCAATTTCTCCTCTATTGGAGCCACCCCGACCCTATCTCGAATATCCTTATTCTAGATTTTATCCCTTCTTGTGTGTCCGCAAAAACCAACGCAACATCCGCATCTCTGCTACACTTAGTTGTTGGACATGTTGCCTTTTTATAGGCCGACATTCAACACCGTATAGCATTGTCGGACGAACCGCCGTCCTATAGAACTTACATTTTAGCCTTTGTGGCACCCTCTTATCACAAAGAACGCCTGAAGCTTGACGCCATTTCAACCAACCGACTGCAATTCTATGCCTAACATCTTCATCAATGTCGCCATCCTTTTGTAGCATCGATCCTAAATATCAGAAAGTCTCCGTCCTGGCCACCACTTTCCCGTCAAGTCTAACGTCACCATCATCATGAGTAGACATGCTGAAAGCACACGTCATGTACTCAGTCTTTGTCCTACTAAGTCTGAAGTCTTTCGACACTAACGTGTCCTTCCACAGCTCTAACTTCCTATTTACCCCTACCCTACTCTCGTCAACTAGCATCACATCATCAGCAAAGAGCATACACCAAGGGATATCACCTTGTATGTCCCTTATGGCCTCATCCATCACCAAGGCAAATAAATAAGGGCTCAATGCTGACCCCTGGTGTAGTCGTATTTTAATTAGGAAGTCGCTGGTATTGCCCCCATATGTTCGGACACACGTCATCGCATCCTTGTACATATCCTTGATGAGGGTAATGTACTTAGATGGGACTTTGTGCTTTTCTAAGGCCCACCACATGACATTCCTCGGTACTCTGTCATAAGCCTTTTCAAGGTCGATAAAGACCATGTGCAAGTCCTTCTTTTGGTCTCTATATCTCTCCATCAACTGTCGTATTAGAAAAATCGCCTCCATGGTCGACCTTCCAGGCATAAACCCAAATTTTTTTTTGGGTCACACTCGTCACTCGTCGTAGGCGATGCTCGATAACCCTCTCCCAGAGCTTCATCGTATCTACTTAATCCCACGGTAGTTACCACAACTTTGAACATCACCCTTGGTATTGAAGATCGGTACTAAAGTACTTCTGCTACATTCATCAAGCATCTTGTTTGACCGGAAGATGAGGTTAAAAAGCTTAGTTAGCCATACTAACGCTCTGGCGCTCAAGCATCTCCACACCTCAATGGGGATACCATCAGTGCCCGTTGCTTTACGACCCTTCATCCTCTTCATAGCCTCTCCGATCTCTGCCTCTCGATTATTTATTACATATCTATATCTAAATGAAAAAAGGTTGCAGTCAAAAAATGGACATGATATTTCACTAAATGAGAGAAACAAAATTTTTTAGATGTTAATATCCTTTTGGTAGTACGAACGAAGAGGGAGAGGGTGTGTTGGACTTTGCGATGGCCTACGACTTGTTGATAGCGAACACCCTCTTTAGGAAGAGGGAATCTCATCTAGTGACCTTCCATAGTGGACGACACTCAAGTCAGATCGACTTTATCATTGCAAGGAGGGAGGATAGACGCAGTTGCGTAGATTACAAGGTGTTACCTGGGGAGTGTGTTGCCCCCCAGCATAAGCTGGTGGTGGCGGACTTTCGATTCCGAATACGTGTCCACGGGGACAAACGTGCCAAAATCGTGAGAACGAAGTGGTGGAAGCTTAAAGGGGAAGCGGCGCAGACGTTTAGGGATAGGATGCTAGGCGAGGGGCCTTGGGAAGAAGGAGAAGATGCATATGACATGTGGCTAAAGATGGCAACATGTGTACGGAAGGTGGTTGCAGTACTTGGTGTGAGTAGGGGAGGCAAGCGCGCCTAAAACTCTAGACGATATAAGAAGAAATAATGGGAACAAATTAATCTCAGGCCCCAGAAATCCTTTACTTAAAAATTTTGTAACACTTGGAAAAAACTGCAAACTTGAAAAATCATATTCATGAGCGAGCAGCCAACATGGAAAAATGGATTAACATTCGAGAAGGCCAATTCTCTGGCATTCAAAAATACTAAGTTGAGGGGAACGTTGGCTCATTTCGTCTCACAATTGCCAATATAACATTGTAATTCTGATATGACAAATATGGTTAAGTTCAAATGTGACATCCTTTCGTTTTGATTTTCGAAGCTTTGTTAATGAGTGAGACAATTTTCTCATATGATTTCTTATGTCATGACGATTAAAAACATGTAGGGTCAATCTTTATCATATGTTGGTCTGTTCTTAAAAAAGTCAGCTTTTTAGTCACGACCAGTTATATCGACTTTTTCAGTCACGACCAGCTATATTAAGCTGTTTCTCATGTCGCTAATCGAAAGCGCTTGAAAATATTAGTTTATGAAGATGACGGTTTGCCGACAAGGCAAACAAAAAATGTTGTGTACAAAAAGGTGTTTTGTAATTTGCAAATGTTTTTTTTTTTTATTATTACATGTTGATTAATATATTTTATTCCACAAATAATAATAAGACTGCGCAAATAGTCTTCAAATTGTTCACCCCGTGCATCGCACGGGTTCCGTACTAGTTGAGTATTATGATGAATAAAATTAAATAAAATTATTATTTTTATATTAAAAATAAATATTTGTGATAAAATATTATTTATATTAATACTTTTTAGGTCCGCGGGCTAATATATTTTTACAATAAAGTTAGAAAAAAAATCAGTAACAAACCCGCCCGTGCATCACACGGGATGCTCACTAGTCTTGTAAAATTGATAACTTCGCATACTATTTGAGATCTTTTCTTCATAATTTGATACTCTAACAAACTTGCTAAAGGACAGTTACATGCAGAATATGAACTCTCTCTAAACCAAAATTCTCTCCCATTCCCTTTCGTAGAAGAAAAAGCAGATCCAGAGCCCTCCTTCCCACCCCAACCCCATCCCCCACCCCTCCCCACTTCTCCTCTATGCTGCTGCCGGCGTTGGCGCACTCATCCACCCATGGGCTGGGCTTGACGGCGGCCGCCTCCTCTCTGTTTGTTGGCTTGTGATCGATGAAGGCGGACTCCCTCGCGCCTTCCTCCCTTTTTCGGTGTTAGGAGTCGGTAGCCCATCCAACATGGTTTGTCGGGTGGGCTTCCATGTTGTCAACTCTTTCTTTCGGCTTATAACTTCTAGGAATTCAGATCTGGGTCGGATTTTGATTTCTAGCCAGATCTGTCTAGCTGCTCGAGTTAAAACCAAAGGATTTAGGAGTCTATTCTCAATTAGTTGTGGTTGTAGAGATTGGTGTGTGTTCTGGGTAGTGTGCCGATTGTTCTGTATGTGGGTTCGAGGAACAGGGGAGGGTTTATTATATTCATAGGTGTGTTGAGCTTTTTGTGTAGTGTAAGCGCCATGTTTAGTGGCTCCTACTTTGTAACCATTTGATTACCGTTAGTACTTATTTCGAGTTTTTATAATAGTATTTATCATTTCAAAGAAAAAAAAAACAACTTTTGAAATACCTTGATTTTGACTAAAAATCAAAAGAGAATTAACATCTAAAAAAAAAAATGTTCTCATTTAGTGAAATATCATGACCACTTTTTGACTGCAACCTTTTCAAATGAGATAAAGGTATGTAATTAGTAATGCCAAGGTGACAACTCTGCAACAATAAATATCTAAATCACAATCACTATAACTAAACGATAGCTACGGCCATAACCCCTCCATTTCTACGCCAATCCAACCCATCGAGCTAATACAGATATTAGTATGTGATTACATCAATCTGGGAAATCCAATTAGATTTGCTCTTCATAGACAAACTTGGCAGCACGACATTTCTTGTAAAACTAGTCCACGAGCACATATAAATGGAAAATATGTTTCTAACGGGTAGCTAAAATGCAACACCAACATTCCACTAGAGAGAGGGAGAGGACAGGGTAATATGTAAGCCCTCTGAAACACATGTTAATCCACAATACCTTATAACTTGTAAACATGAAGGTTCCTTCACGTCTAAAACACTAGACGATATAAGAAGAAATAAAGGGAACACATTAATCTCAGGCCCCAGAAATCCTTTACTTAAAAATTTTGTAACAATTAAAAAAAACTGCAAACTTGAAAAATCATATTCATGACCCACTATCCGGTACTTTCCTATGGCTCGTGATAAAAATTTCTTTAACCATTTAATGAGAAGGTTTCGCTTCTTGCAGGGAGATCACCGTTTCAAAAGCTCCCACCAACGCTTTAACCTTACTTTTCCTGCTTTCAACGAGTTTGCTCGCAGTCTCTTCAATCACATTATTCAACAAAACTTGACCGTCTTTCTTCCTCTGCACCTCTGGGTGCTTTAAAATCACTTTTCTAGATGAAAGATCAAAACCAACTACATCGTTCTTGCTTCCTGCCCTTTTTATGGTTTTTGTCCGTAATTCACTTTTGCCATCTTCATGTCGAGCGACCCTACTCGTAAATTTCAGCCTCATGGGACTCTTATTAGCCATCTGAGAGTCCACCGTCTTCTCCCTACGGATTAAATTCACAGGAGATTGAGATTTATCTTCACATACTGCCAGCCGGCTCTTTCTTAAGGATTTGTTTGGAGTTCCAGATTTTACATCCACAGACCTCTTGCTGTAAGAGATAGATGATTCTGCTTTTCTTAGAGTCCTTTCTGGTTGAACATTTCCGATATCCATGGGCTTCTTGCTATCTGAGATCAAATCGCCCGTTTTATTAACACTTCCTGGCCGCCTGAATCTGATTCTCTTTGGTATATTACATTCTGGCTGTGGGTCGAGTATTTTTCCTCTCCTGAACTTCAACTTCAATGGCGGCTGATTTTTATCTTCAGATGAAACCAACTTACTCTTTATCGGAGTCTTGCGACTTCCTTTCAGAGGCGGTACTTTGCCGGTCTCCACAATTGCCATTTTTTCAGAAAATCCGATCTCGTCTAGTTCACCATTGATCTCTTCATCATTTTCATCAAGAGATGACGTAGATAGAGTCTTTGAACAAGATATAGACTCGGATGATGAAGATGGATATGCCTCATCATCATTGACATCATCCTCATAATCATTGACATCATCCTCATCATCATCATCATCATCATCATCATCATCATTAGAGGACAATGAAGTACCCTCGTGATCTTCCATCAAAAGTTGTGAGTTCTCTATCTCTGAATCTGCATCACTTTTACTGTAGATCTTCTCAGCATCATCTTCGTGAGATAGAGAAGATGGAGACGTTGTACGAGTGTGATTCTCTTTCACAGGTTGTATATTGGCGGTTTCAATGGATACTGTATTTTCAGAGACAAATTCATCTCCTTCATTACCTTCATTACCACTATTTTGTATCTCATCATTTTCTTCTTTTTCTTCTTCATGAGAAGACAAAGACTGAGACCTCAAATCAAAGGAAGATAATATGGGAGATGACGATGGTGATGATAGCGATGGTTTGATTTCTGCTTCATTCTTAATAACATGCAAAGTTCTTTCAGGTTCCTCACCATCTGATTTCTCAATACCCTTTCTTGCTTCGGTCTCAACAACATGACAAGTTTTCACAGAAACGGCACTGTTGGATTCCTCAGTCCCTTTCCGATACTTAAGAGAGGATGTCGATGACGACAGCAATGACGGTTTTATCCTTCCTACTTCTCTTGCTTTACCGGTCCCAATAGATAATCTAGCTGCCGATAAACAAGAAGATGGAGTTTTCAATGCTTTGTCAGCAGATGCCACCGATGATGTCAGTTTTCGGCCAGTTTGGTAACCATGTGAATTGCCTGAAGAACTTAATGGCTTAACCTTAACCAAGTTTGCCTTTGCTGGAGAAGAACGCTTGACAGACTTTTTATTCTCACGAATCTCACCCGAGCCACCAGCTTTTGCTTGAACTTCGACTTTTACAGACGACAATGATATTTCCCTCTTGACAATTTCAGGGATTTCTGACACTGAGGATTTCTTACCGGATGACGAATTTGGAAAACGAGTCTTGTTTCCAGATACGGCGTTCAGCCTTGGGGGACATGATTTGGTTAGAGGAGAAACTTTAGCCAAAGACGACCGTCTCTTCATCTCCGATGAAGACTCATTCGGTGAAAATTTTGAAGTTTTCGTTTGTGAATGCTCAGTTTCCTTACCTTCAAAAGTTTCCTTCTTTCTCATATAATTCGCCTCCTTTGGTGAAGGCTTCCTCAAATTCTTTTTCCGTAGATATTCCATAGTGTTCTCTTTCGACGCATGGTGCCCTCCATATTTGCAGATATCGTGGCAAGATCCGGTCGAGGCTCTGAGATAGATGGGTACCCTACGTTTAATAGTGTTTGCCGCTCGAACTTGTTTTTCATTAGAAGAACACGATCCCGGCTTATCAATGGTAATGCAAGAAGCAATGGATGCTCGGCGCTTGGGGACAGGACTGAGTTCACCATGACTCAGAGAAGGAGAATTTTCAGCAGAGTTTATGTCCATTTTCGTGCTGTTGAATGAAAATTCATTCTTTTCAAGAGTTACAAGTGGTTCTATACATTCTTCGGCCATGGAAAATGGACCTCAGGGGAAACAAATTGGGGAAGGCCCAAAATCCTGCAAATTGAAACACAGAAAATGACTATAAAATATGATGTGCGTTGATACAACTGGAAGAGGGCTGTGAGAAGCAAACAACTGGATATTCGAAACAACATGTGCACAACACATGTAATCTGGAAATATACAACAGCAATCTCTTCCATACACACAGAGATAGGCAAGTCTCTTAGACTACATAAACAAACAAAAAGCAACTAACTGAAAACTTCAAAACAAAAAGGCAAACTAAATATATGATCATGTCTTCTTTTCTTTCCTTAATAACACTATTTTCCCAGAATTAAAGAAGTGATACAATCGAGGGAGAAAACAACAACATAAACAGGAAAGCTCATTCAGAATCAGATGAACGTAACAGAAATTCCTATTTGGATTATTATTCATCAATCAGCAAAACCAGAACAAAAAAGACTTGCATACACAAAATCATCCCAAACATTCAGATCATATTAAACCTCGCAAAAACTTTTCATAATCGGGTAACACATCGATCACCACTATTGCAAGAAGCGCACCGTTTTCTCAAAATAAAATCAACAGAAATACAAACAAAACACACAGAGACGATATTGAGAAAACGCCGCAAATAAATGGCGACACGAAAAAAAAGGAAAATCTACCGAAAAATTCCGCAGAGGAAGCGCGATTCAATCAGCCGATCAATGGATCACAAACCAGAAGAATCAATCTCTTAAACCTCTTTCTCGTATCAAAGAGAAACATTCAACAATCCCATATTCAAAGAGCAAACAAAATAAATTCAAAACCTAATGATACTAACAAGGAAAGGAAGGGAGAAACAATCGTATTCGTATCGTAGTTATAAGAATATTTGATGGTGCGTCTGTTGAAAAAGACTACGCGTTACTTTTATACCTACCCTTTGTTGATTTATTTCGCTGCTTTTTCTACAAAGGAAAGAGAGAGAAAGCGTTTGAAATCGAAAGTAATGTATTTTTGGGCCTTTGGGGAACGGGATTGATAAGAGACCAAATATAGGACAAAATTACAAAATAAGTCTAGTTCAATAGTAAATTTGACGGGTCAAACCTTTCAATTAAGTCCAATCTACTAATTTATCTTTAACTCCGTTATCTATCAAACGGGGCCAATATGTTGTCCCTCACGGAAAAGATTGATTTTTTGTATTTTTTTCGTGCAAAAAGCCAACTAAGTGTATCTTTTCTGTAAGGGACAACATATTGTCTCTTTTGTTCACAACGTAGTGTATCATTTTTGTAATTTTACCCCAAATAAATTAGTTGCTTTTAATATTTTGTAGTCAAATGTTAGCAGTCCCATTACAGAATCATTCGGTCGGTATTTATAATCGTTAGATCGTCATGTAACTTTCGTGGATAGTTGATTTAAAGGTTACAAATTTCGACGGAATTGTTCTGTAACAGGACAGTAGAGTCTCCCTAAATTTGTTAAAGCATAAGTTACAAAAAAGAAATACTACTTCATTTTATTTGTTTGAAGAAAGTGAGAAGGGATGGACACAAATTAGTGCTTGTTTGGGAACACTTCTCAAAAAGTCCATTTAAAATATGGACTTCTCCAAAATGGACTTCTCCATAAGTCTCTATCATTTACTTCTACATAATGGACTTTTTAGAGATACAACTTATCCATAAGTTCATTCTTAACTTAGCACCAAACATAAATATTTATCCAAATGGACTTTTGCATCCAAAAGTTCATTTGAAAAGTGTTTCCAAACAAGCTCTTAATTTCTTCCTAAGAAAGCATGCAATAACTTGTGTAAATATATATATA